ATACTTTCTCTGTGAAATGAAGATCCCATACTTGGATCTTGCAACTTCAATCCCCAAGAAGTATTTGAGCTCACCAAGATCTTTGATCTCAAATTCTTGCTGCAATGATTTTTTGAGATCATCAATCTTCTCCAGATCATTTTCTGTCACCACTATATCATCCACATACACAATTAGAATCGACACCAGAGCATCTCTCCTTTTCACAAAGAGGGTGTGATCAGACTGTGTATGTGTATCCAAAATGGATGAGTGCCCCTCTGAACCTGTCAATCCAAGCCCTAGTTTCAGTCCATGTAGAGATTTTCTAAGTCTGCACACCTTTCCTTTACCAACATTTTCATAAAAGCCTGCTGGAATGTCCATATATACCTCCTGTAAATCACCATTGAGGAAGGCATTTTGACATCAAGTTGGAACAAGGGCCATGAATAGGTGGCTGCTAGAGATGAAAGGATATGAGCTGAGCTCATCTTAGCTATTGGTGCAAAGGTTTCCAGATAATCAACATCATAGGTCTGAGTATACCTTTTCGCTACCAACCTTGCCTTGTACCTCTCTATCTTGCCATCAGCCTTATACTTCACTGTGAATACCCATCTACCTCTGACTGTCTCCTTGTTTGGGGGAAGATCAACTATTTCCCAAGTTTGGTTTTTGACCAAAGCATATCTCATCTTGCATGGCTGTTTTCCACTCTGGTTTGGAGAGAGCCTTAGTAACATTCCTGGGTATAGGCATAGAATCCAGGGAAGAAAGAAATGCACAGTAGGAAAGATGGTGTGAAATGCAGTAGGATGTACACTTTCTCTTCCCCTTACGAAGTGCAATGGGAAGATCAAGGTCAGTGGGATCAACTGCAACAATGGTGTTAGGGACAGGAACATTATCATCGGAAAACATAACAGGCTTAGGCTCAAGAGGAATACCTGGAATTGTATCTACCGAATCTGGAGTTTCAGAAGGACTGGCAGAGAGTGGTATGGGTTGAGGATGCGTGGAGTCAACCATCATCTGCCGGAGCTGATATTTCTGTGAAGCTGCTCGTAGTGGCTCAAGTAATGAAACTGGAGGTGCAGGTGCTGGCTGAGTTGATGCAGGTGCTAGCTGAACTGATGGAGGCACCAAAGAAACAGGAAGAGGAACTGAGGAACAGATTGTGAGTTTTCCTCCCCAAAACTCTCCCCTTGAGGAGAACTACTCGAGAAGAAGAAGGTGGATTCAAAGAAGGTAACATCCATAGTGACAAATCTGCTCCTCGACACTGGGTCATAACAGCAATACCCCTTTTGGTTCTGAGCATACCCAAGAAAAACACATTTCTTGGCCTTAGGATCCAATTTCTTGCGATAAGGGCCAAGAATGTAAACAAAGGAAACACAACCAAAAACCCTCAGAGGTATGCCATGTGNNNNAGCCTTGCTTCTTAGGTAGATCCTGAGCCCACTTTGGTTTCCCATGGAGATCCCAACAAGTATCTTTGGTGTGCCGGGGCTTCTGACAATTAGTGTACCAGAATTTTTCCTTATCTTTTGCTTTCTTCTAGAGTTCCCCTCTCTTGGAAGAAGGTCCACCACTAGTAGAGGTACCCCCCTTTGCCGCCAACACAATTGCATCATCTCCAGTGCTATTCATCAAGTTTCTCCTGCTCTCTTCAGACTGGACAAGAGCATAGACCTCCTGAATTAAAGGAAGATCCTTAGAACCTAGAATTTGTACTCTGATGGATTCATAGATAGGATTGAGACCATGTTTAAAGGCAAACACTCTTTGCTGTGAGACTAGTTTCTTATACAATTTTGCATCTTCATCACACTTCCAATCAATATTCTGGTAATGGTCCAACTCCTTCCAACTAGTGGTCAAGTCAAAGTAATAAACTGATAAACTTCTCTCCCCATGTTGACAAGTAGATGAGGCTGCTTGCAGTTGATAAATCTTGGCATAGTGTCAAAGTTCAGAATATGTGGATTTTGCCTATTCCCAGCTCTCATTTGCAGTTTCAGCCCACATGAAGTTCTTCTTTATTTGTGGTTGCATGGAGATCAAAAGCCATGACATAACCATACTATTCTCCTGATCC